AAATTAAAATTAAAATAATTTTTTTTTCTTTAAAAAAATCAGACGGGAACTCTTAAAATTTTATTTTTCTTTCAATATATCTACTAACACATTTACTTATATTTGGTACTGATTGAATATAAAAAAAATTCTATAAAACTTTAAAAAATCTTTAAAATTTCAAAAAATGAAAAAATAAAGAGTTTTTTTATAAAATTAAATTTAAAATTAAAATTAAATTAATTTTTCTTTTCTTTAAAAAATCAAAAATCTTCCAAAGTTTTAGTTTAAAGAAAAAAAAATTATTTTAATTTTAAAATTAATTTTATAAAAAAACATCTTTATTTTTTCATTTTTTTTTGAAATTTTAAAGATTTTTTAATGTTTTTATAGATTTTTTTATATTCAATTAGTACCAAATATAAGTAAATGTATTAATAGATACATTAAAAGAAAAATAAAATTTTATAAGTTCCCGTCTGATTTTTTAAAGAAAAATAAAATTTTATTTTAATTTTAATTTCAAAATTAATTTTATAAAAAAAATTCTTTATTTTTCATTTGTTTTGAAATTTTAAAGATTTTTAAAGTTTTTATAGAATTTTTTTAATATTCAGTCAGTACCAAATATAACTAAATGTGTTAGTAGATACGTTGAATGTGCCACTAGCCTAGTGGTAAACGACCTTGCCACTTAATCCAATCAACCCGGGTTCGATTCCAGTGGTGTACGTTTTTTATTTTCAAATAGCTTAAAACGACGTCGTTTCATCCTAACGGCAACAATTAACGTCCGACTTAACACCGTCTTAACGGTTTGTTAATGGTGTGTTAAAATGGCGAGTCAATCGTAAGTTTCTTAATAAACTAATAAAGTCAACAAAAGTTCAGGTTTCTTTTGGCCAGACTCGAGTACAGGTTTCTTTTGGCCATTCGTGCAAAGTTGGTGCTTTTTTTGGCCGAATTCTCAAATAAAAAAACAAGAAACAAACATAAACTTCATTCAAATGGTTCATTTAAGGGAAAATTTCATAACTACCACTTTCACACTACCATTTTTCAAATATACCACAATTTAATTACACTTTGCAAATATACCACTTTCATTTAATGGCAAATTACAAAATTAACCCTAATTACTTTCTTTTCTATCGTTGTTCTCGTTTTAGGGTGAAAGAGGAGAGACGGAGGTGGAGGAGGTGCGGCGGAAGAGGATCTGGCCTGATCGGAGAGTTCGTCGGTGGTGGGGATGAGGGATTAAGGGGAGGAGGAGGGAAAACATGAGGGGCGACGAGGAAGAAGACGATTCGTAACAATAATCAGAGAAACCTGCAGTGATTTAAGCAACAATAATCATGGAGGAGACTTGCCATATCAGCTTCCTCCCAATTTAGAACGATTGTATGTTTAATGATTCTCTCTCTGGTTTGACAAGTTTCTTTGTGTGTGTTTGTAAGTTGATAAAGTTTCTGAATTTGTTTAGGAATCTTGCTAATAACCAGTTCACCGGATCTGCTCAGTATTCTGTATCTCAAATGACCCCTCTCAAGTACCGGTACGTTCTTTGTTTATTCATCTTCAGACATATCTTGGAGATGATTGGTTGTATTATACAACTTGTACAACGCTCCATTGGTTTTGCCCAGCAATCTTGCTCACAACCAGCTTAAGAAGCTAGCTATTGACTTCACCAAACTCACCTCTCTCTCCATCTTGTAAGATCTTCTCTTTTTTTTTCTCTGAGTAAAATTAGTTAAGAGATTGGTTAGTGAGTGAAAAAATGTTTTGATGAATCCATGTGTGTTTCCAGGGACCTCTCTTCCAATACTATCACAGGTTCTCTTCCAAACACAATGAGCTCTCTTACAAGTGCAATGTCAATGTAAGTAGTCTTTGTGTGTTGTAAGAACTTACGTAAGTGAACCAGTTAGTACTAAAACAATGTTATATTGAATGAACTTCACAGTTATCTTCAGAACAATCAGTTCTCTGGCACCATTGATGTCTTAGCCACCCTTCCTCTCAAAAATTTGTGGGTTATATGGTAGCATATCAGCTCTATGAGCTTTGTGAAGCCGTGGGACCTGAGCCTACTAGGTAAGGTCTTAGATAAACATGTAGTATGTTTTAATGAAGTTCTTTAGGCCTGTTGCATAATATGGATTTCTATATTAAACATTGGTTTACCTTTTCATAGGTATGATTATTGATCTATTTGATGATGCCCCTTGCTTCTTTCTAATACTATTTAATGTCCCTTCTATATTAAGAACGGAATTGGTGCCTGCATATGTGCATCTACTTCGTGACAATGAAGCTGAAGTACGCATAGCTGCTGCTGGAAAAGTTACTAAATTCTGTCGGATCCTAAACCCTGAACTTGCTATTCAGCACATTCTCCCATGTGTAAAGGTACATTCTTAAGAGACCGGTGTGTGAATGTCAATTTTTTTCAGAGAATTAATGACTCAACGTTTAAAAGCTGTTACATATTACCATAGTTTCTTTTAATTCTACCTGTAGGAGCTATTAACAGACTCATCTCAACACGTCAGATCTGCATTGGCCTAAGTTATAATGGGAATGGCCCCGGTCTTGGGTAAGGTAAGAGAGTTCATTCGTGTTTAACTCAGCCCTTTCGTTCAATATTGCGCCTGCAAAGTGCCCATTATCGGCTGTAGTAAATTAACGTTGATTCCTTATACGAAAAATAATTTGGTTGGATTATGTATGTTGCGGATTTAACTTCTACATCGATTTTTTTTCATTGCAGGACGCAACATTTGAGCATCTCCTTCCAATATTTCTTTCTTTGTTGAAAGATGAGTTTCCTGATGTCCGCTTGAACATTATCAGCAAACTTGACCAAGTTGATCAAGTTTGTTATGACCAAGTCACCCAAACATTACAACCCTCACTATCTATACCGTATGACCATTTTGCGTGCGGTTTCTCTTCTTGCACCAGTGATGGGCTCAGATATCACATGCTCTAAGCTCTTACCTGTAGTAATGACTGCGGCTAAAGACAGGCAAGTTCTCATTGTAAACTAGTTAAGACTCGCATCATTTTACTTCAACTTTCTTTAAGTGTTTAAACTAGTCTTGTTTTCACAATCACAGAGTTCCAAACATCAAATTCAATGTCGCTAAAGTGCTTCAGTCTCTCATCCCAATTGTGGATCAGTCGGTAAGTGTGTGTATATATATATTATTATCAGTCATAACATCCATATGCTTTGTTTTAATTTTTGGTTTGGTGGTGAAAAGGTTGTAGAGAAGACGATTCGTCCAGGGCTTGTGGAGCTAAGTGAGGATCCAGATGTTGATGTCAGTTTTTTTGCAAACCAAGCTCTTCAGTCTATTGATAATGTGATGATGTCTAGCTAAGAAAACGTTTAGATCTTTGTCTTTATCTCTCTCCCTGGTTTTCTATTTGATGCAACATTATAAACTCTCAAGACTTTGTAACGTAAGTAAGTGAGGATTCTTGTGTTCTGTTTTTTTTTTTAATTTCATGCAAATATACTTGAGTGACTCCGGTTTTGTCTTTTGTCTTGCAACTAGTGTGTTCTCGAACATTTTTAGCTACTTATATGGGTTTATAAATTATTTATAAGCCCTTATAAGTCATTTATAAGGTATACGAATCATTTATAAGTGTTTATAAATTATTTATAAAGGGTTTATTAATCAGCTATAATGATTTATAACTCATTTATAAATGGTTATAAATAATTTATAAGAGCATATAAAGGTTTACAAACAGTTATAAACATTTAGAAGGGTCTATAAATCATTTAGAAAAATTAATTAATAAGTTATAAGGATTAATAACTCATTTATAAATGGTTATAAATATTTTTTATGAGCTTATAAAGAGTCTTTGTCAAAGACTAAGATTACAAAACAAAGAGACTATTGCTAAAGTTAGTTGCAGAGACTCTTAAGTCAACTTTTTCATATTATTCATTTACATATTCGATATAGACTGTTTATAAAAGATTATAAACCGTTCATAAAGATTTATAAGAGTTTATAAACCTTTTATAAGGGATTATAATCTGTTTATAAATAGTTATATATTAGTTATAAATATTTTTAAAAGCTTATAAATCATTTATAAGAGATAATTAACAAGTTGTAAGAGTTTATAATGGCTTATAAAAGTTTCTAAATAATTTATAAGAGTTTATAACACTTATAAAGGGTTTGTAAATGTTTATAAATCATAATAAATCTTTTTTAGAATTAATGGTGCTCTTAGATCTCTTTGAAGATTATAGGAATGGTTTACATAGGTGTAGAAACCAATTAGAAAGTCTTTAAATCATTTATAAGAGTTTATTAATAGATTTTACAAATCGGTTATAAATTTTGTTTATAAAAGTTCATAATTGGTATAACAAATATATCATTTAAAAGAGTTTATAAGTAATTATTTATCATTATAAGAGATTTATATATCATTTATAAGAGTCTATATATCATTTATAAAGGCTTATAAATCATCTATAAAGTCTTATAAATCAGTTACAAGGGTTTATAAATTATTCATTAAAGTTAATAAAACATGTATAAGAGTTAATAAATCAGAGGAGTTTGCTAATTCATCATCAATGATCAAAGTTCGAGGCTGTTCTAAGCTTAGGAGCTGCCAGAAAAAGAAAAAAAAAATCATTATTTAAACCATGTATCTTATTCTTTTGCTTTTTTTCCTGCTGATGCTACCTTAGTTAGTCTGGATCCAAATTCTCTCCACTTGTTTTTTTTACTCTCCTCTAGACTATCACCAAATGTGAACCCGTGAACTCTCACTAGGGCTGTGAGAACACATGCAACACTTGGATCAGTACCTAAGAGCTATATAATCCATCATTGACAATGGTGACTCTCAAAATGAAAGCTTTGCAAGGCAGGATATAGGATACTTGGAATTGACGTACTGACTTATGCTGATATGGTTTAGTATATATGTTCTACAATACTTTGAAAAGTTCCTCGACTAACTTGAGAACGGGGACGAGATTCATCACCAACAAACTTGGTATTAGGAATATGAAAACTTATCTCCATCAACGAGTTTTTCTGCAAATACATAATAACAGAATCAGCAACTCACTAGCTTACATACATATTAACCCAGAGACTACATTTCTAAGGAAAAAACAAATTGCAGTACACCTCATTGGCACCACCGCCTTCGACGTTGCTCTGCCTTGCCACCGGAGACGAGATAGAGAGCGAGCAAGGTGTGATGGAGACACAGAGATGCGACAATGGAGACGAGGCTTTCACAGTTTATAAAGGCGTTTAAATCATTTATTAGGGTTTATAAAACATTTATAAGAATAAAAATAACGGTTTATAAAGGTATGTAAATAATGTATAAATATTTATAAAAACAATTTATAAAGATTATATATCTTTATAAAGGCTTATAAAACAATTTATAAAAATATATAAAATTATTTGTAAGTCTATATCATTTATAAAGGCTTATAAAACAAGTTATTAAATCTATAAACCATTTATAAATATATATAAGAAAGTTATGAAAGCTTATAAAATAATGTTTTTTTTTCTATTATGCAGAGCTGGTCTCTTGAAGGATGTCATAACAAGGAAAAGTTTATAATGACACCTAAATAATGGTTTGTATGATAATTTATAAGGATTTATAAGGATATGTAAATAATTTATAATGATATGTAAATAATTTATAAATGTTTATAAAAGCAATTTATAAAGATCATACAACTTTATAAAGGTTTATAAAACAATTTATAAAGATATTGAAAATTATTTGTAAGTCCATACCATTTATAAAGGATTATAAAACAATTTATTAAATCTATAAACTATTTATAAATGAGGATATTAAAATGGTAGCAAAACTCTTCAGTGATATAATAATAGAGAGTCTAAATATCAAAAGCACCGAGAAACTAGCACTATAGCTACAGATCTTGCAACGGGAAACAAAGAAGACTCAACTAGACCACAGTCTATTAAAGATGTAGAATCTCAAGCACAATAATCCTTGCACATAGACAACTACGGAAGTCTCAAGATCGCAGGAAACAAACACACAGTAGTAGTTTAGAGCACCTACGGAAATTCAACCAATACTACAGAGGGTAGAAGTTCTCATGCTTGAGGATGAAACATCATTAATTTCAAGCAAACATGTTTTTATACACTGTCTCTCCTTCACAAGTATGCGTTCATTCCTGAAAATGAAATAACCAACACACAATTCAGGGATTAACTTTTCAACGGTAATCTATATATAAAGAAATTATTGCCTTAATCTTTTGTCAAACGAAATCACTCACCAAGTGCCTTGATTTGAGAACTTTCTACAAAGCTTTCACATCAGCTTGAAAGCATGAAGAAGAGAGCACAGCTTTGTCTGCATTTTTAAGGGCTTATAAAGCATTTATAAGGGTTTATAAAATATTTATAATTGCTTATAATTTTTAATAAATCTTTATAAATCAAGGGAGGGAGTATATAATAGAAGTGTTGCAGGTTTGTTGTTAAAGGATGGGTTGATTTGGAGGTGTTTGACAGCAATTGAGTTTGATATTTTTTGGAAACATGCTAAAAAGCTGATAGAAGAGGGTGATAACACATTGGAGGCAACAAGTTTTGATACAACAAAAGAAAAAATGGAGGAAGAATTACAAAAGTTGGATGTTCAAGTATAAAGGCTTTTGGACAGAACAACATCAGATTGTTAGAGCATCTCCAACTCCACTCCATAATTTACTTCAAAATGGAGTGGAGAATGGACTAATGTAGAAAACAAAAATCTCATTACTCCATATTTGGAGTAATCACTTTTTTGTTTCTTCATCACTCCATTTCCCACTCCATTTTGCAGTAAATTATGGAGTGACATTGGAGATGCTCTTATACACGTAGCTAAGTACACGTAGCCTCCAAAGACAGCAGACCAAAGACAGCAGACTAAAGACAGCTTCCCTGCCAAAAATATGAGAAATAAAAGATAAACTCAAAATGTTTATAAAGTTTTCAACTTGTTTACCTCAACAGAAACCCATCAGTCATGAACTTCAACCTCGTCTCTTGTTTTTTTTTTCTTTTATGCACAGCCGGTCTCTTGAATGATGTCGTAACAAGGAAAAGCTTATAATGACACCTAAATAATGGTTTGTATGATAATTTATAAGGGTTTATAAGGATATGTAAATAATTTATAAATGTTTATAAAAACAATTTATAAAGATTATACAACTTTATAAAGGTTTATAAAACAATTTATAAAGATATGTAAAATTATTTGTAAGTCCATACCATTTATAAAGGCTTATAAAACATGTTTTTAAATCTATAAACTATTTATAAATGTTTATAGAAATTTATGAAAATGGTTCTATCTTCGGTTATTCAACAGGTACAGAGGCGTGCAGCCCTTTAGAAAATAAAAGTTTTAGTTTTTTAGAGTAACCTTGTTCCATATCTCCCACCCAGTGTACATGTCAATAAATTATAGTCTTTTTGTTTTATTTCTCAAATTTCTTCAATTGGATTCTCAAAAGCATAAAGTATCTTATGCAAGAACCAAATGATCAGTTTATGTTATACAACAGGTATGCACGTGTGTTTCTCATGTTGTTTATGGTGTGAAGCCAAATCTTTGTAACAAGATTTTTTGTTGACAAACGAATTATAGATTATAGATTTATTAATCTATAATGTTAACAATATATAAATTTTATAAACTATTTATAAGGGTTTATAAAATATTTATAAACAATATCTATTTTTTATGAAAGATATATAAACAATTTGTTCGTTCATGACTTTATAAAGAATATTTTTTGTCTGTATTTTAATCATTTGATATGGACTCTTAAATTCTGGATACAATGTTATTTCCCTTCTTCTCACTTTTATATAAGTTTCCCTTCATGTAGTCATTTAGTCACATGGGTATTAGCACAAAATCTAGGTCATTCAACGTCAACCTAACCAAAATTGATTTCTATTACAAGAAACATAATTTAGTAAAAAGGACTAGTTTCGATTATTTAGCCGCAGAACAACATGCCATTTCATGAAAAGAGTAATATTTTGAGTTGAAAGGACTGATTTATGAAATCTTATAAACTAATTTATAAACAATTATATTTTGATTTACAAGAGTGTATAAATTAATTCATAAGGGTTGATAATTGATTTATAATACTTTATAAAACATCTATTGGAGTCCATAAGTTACTTATAAATATTCCAAAAATCTGAACGCAAGCCAGTCACATATTATTCCTACGCATCAGCTCTCACTTCCAGAAACAAGTTTCAAAAATAATATGCTTCTGTAGCTCAACAAACTCATGCTACATCTCCACTGTTTTTCTGATATTCTACACAAAACACATACAAGACAGGAATCTCATAAAGTAGCAAAACATAACGTTACACTACCAAAACATTAACCTTCCACCTCATATATTGTGCATACTAAGCCTTGCCAGTCACTACAACCAAAATGCTCATCACATATGCCAATAAATACACCATTTGGTCTGATCCATCTTTCAATCTATTTATGTATTCTTCGATGGATCAATTGTATTTGCAAGAAGGAAGTATCTATAATGATTAATAAAACTATTCATGTTTGTTTATAAATGTTTATAAAATAAATCATATGAGTATATACAATAGTTTTTTATATAAACCATTTATAATAGTTTATAAAACTTATTATGAACCATTAATATTTATAAATCATTTGCAAGGATTTGTAAAAGACTTTGTCTATATTCTAAACTATTTTTAAGAGTTTATAATTTATAAGCATATATAGAATTTTTTTTATTATAATCTATAAATCATTTATAAGAATATATAATATTATTTATAAGGGTTTATAAAATCATTTATAAGGAATTGTAAATTCTAAAGGTAATTCAGTTATAAAGTTAAAACATTTTATAAAGGTGTTTAAATCATTTATTAGGGATTATAAAACATCTATAAGAATAAAAAATAAATTTATAAAGATTTATAAAAACTTCTAAACCCTTAAATTAGTTTATAAGCCTTTATAAATTAGTTTATAAACTCTTCTAAATTAATTTATAAACCTTTATGAATCATTTTATAAGCTTTTTATACATTAACTTAGTAATCTTATTGAATTAGTTTATAAACCTTTACAAATCAGTTTACAAACCTTATATAATGATTTTATAAACCCTTATAAATTAGTTATAAGTTTTTATAAATTAGTTTATACGCCTTTCAAAATTAGTTTATAATCATTGTATAAGTCATTTATAATCATAGTTCAATAATTAGTTTGTAAACCTTTTTAACATCATAGAATGATATGTATACTTTTCCATAATCCTTCTAACTATTACGAATGACGTGTGCATCATACAAGAAAATAAAAGAAACATTTTTATTGTTGTTAGAGATAACAACATGTTTCATTGTTTTACAAACGGCTCTTGTTCTTGTAAGATCACTGATGTTAACAATTATTATTGCACTTCTCGTTTAGTTTTGTAACTTGACGGTTTTGAAAGAAAAGATTACTAGAGAGCTTCGGTTCTTGAAACAAGGGGGAAGTGAACTTCTCTTTCCTTATACACTAGGACCATGACGTTTTCTGTAACAAACGTCTTCGAATAAACACTCTATGCCTATTAAGACACGCAATATGAACACAACAGCTCTCGGGGTCATGCAAGTTACTGCAGTAAATGTCAACCTCCTCTTTCTCATCTCCTTGTAGACGCTTGGGTCCAGGTACACAAACTGGCAAGTGTCATCGCTTCTGGATTGGAGAGAGACATTTACCTTCATTATGTATAGTATATCATATTGTTACAAAACAGAACAAATCCACAAGTTGCTTCATTTCCAAGCCATCCAAAACAGGAAAAAAAAACAGCAGGGTGGTTTCCTTATACCCAACAATCTCAGCCTTCTTCTCAGTCTTCAGAATCTCTGCCTCCATTGTTCTTTTTGCAGCATTTTCCCCAGAAACCTGTCATTAGGCAGAGAAAGTATAGTTCTGATCATTCCACAAGCCAACTAATCTGAAGTGAAACTAGTAGTTATGCTCCATAAACATCTAATATATTTGGACGTTCTTTAAGTACATACTAACCACAAAGTCTAGATCAACGTATACGTTGCAGAAATGGAAAATATCTTCCATGTTGTTAGTGTTAATATTGTTGACAATGTCTTCTGCAACATCTCGAAGTGGATCAGGACTTGCAATTTTATAATCTGCTGACGCCACCCAGATCCCATCCTGCAAAAGTTTTAGGACGTTCTTATCAGAGTTTGGATCACAAACAAGATTTTCTTCTTCTTCTTTTAATTTGGAGAAGAGATCAACAAGTCTGTTATAAGAAACTAGAAAAGAGCTAGTGATTCCTACCTCCATGAAGTCTTCCATCTGGAGTACACGGTCAACAGAAACAACATATAAACTGTCTTCCCCAACTTCTTCGCCAAACTTTTTCCTCCATGCAGCACTAAGGCGCTACACAAAACATAGGGGCTTTGAAGTAAAAGTCACACGCATAAGCAATTAAACCAAGCATTTATGAGTAATAATCTGTTCTCTATATTCATCTCCTAGAGGCTATTAATACTACACATGAAGGGGTAAATAGACATGACTTCTAATCACCATACAAAGAAAGGATTATCATACAGAACGCAACACAAAGGAGGTACCTTTAGAACATGATCGTCTCTAGGTCGAGCAATGCTACCTTGAATCGTACACTGAGGATATCTTGTGACATCACAACTGTTCTAAAGCTCTGTTTCTCTGTCTGTCTCAGATTTTTCTGCAGCCAGCGACACGAACATATGTCATCTTCTTGACTTGTAGACCAGAACCAAATGTAGGTAGATCTCACAAAACCATTATCTTTCGAGAGCTCTTGACTCCATCTTCTTGTTAGCCTAAAATGCTCACTAAACTGTAAATCTGCTTTGCTTTCTCAGTTTCACAATACCATTGATCCTCTAATTATTTCTGAGATAGTTATCGCTCAGGTAGTAGATGTCTCTTCTGATGTCACAAAGGATCACACAACTCAGAACACTGATGCGACTCACTGGCTTGCTACGACATTCACATTCATTTTAGAGGCTAGTGCTTTCTCCACTGGATAACTTCAGTGCTGTGCCAATAGTCTAAGGTAGTCTTCGAACACCCAACGATGAGTCACCTCTTCTTTCAGTTCAACTCTGCAACGTCATTAGAACTTTCTCAACTTCACCATCACTTTGTTCATCCTTAACCTCCCCAGGAACAGAGACTAACACCCAAAGCTGTTCTGCATCAAAGAAACAAAACTTTACTATCTTCATCACACCAAAATAACAAAAGACAACATCTTTACATCAAAAGAGATCATCTTTATACCTGCTTAGGAGGAGAAGCAGAGACACCAAAATCACCACGAGCACAACTCCATAAACTGCAACGCAACTTTCCCTCCTAAGGAATGACCAATCACCACATCAGGCCAACTCCACCCGTTCGCCTTCACCAAATCAGCTAAATCCTTGGCTGAGTTCACAAGATCGTGAGGAGGGTTAACGCCTTCCACCTCCGTTGATCTCCCGTGGTTCCTCAGATCAACGAGCATCATCTTCCAATCTTAACACACACAAAAAAAAAGATTAAAAAAACGATAAGGAGAAAGTTAAAGAGAGTGGTGTGTATACCAGAGGGGATGAGACGGAGAGAGATGATGCAAGAGAGCGGTCTTTGATTGATTTACTTCTCCTCTCTTCTTCTGTATTCATATGCAGAAACAGCAAATTTCGCCGGATATTGTCGAATTTGTCGGAGATCGGCGAATGAGTTCTTCTTCTTATCGTTCGTCGGAGATCGGCGATTCGGAGATCGGCGAGTCAGAGATCGGCAAATCGGGGATCGAAGAAGAAAAGGGACGGAGGAAGAATATGTTTGAGTAATCAAGGGTTATATGGTCTTTTCCCTATCAAAATTTTAAGTGTAAAGTTGGTTAATGTAAAAGTGAAATAGTGTATCATCAAAGTGGTAGTTTTAACAATTTCCCTTCATTTAAATGATTCATTTTGATGGAGAAACGAACATCCCTTAAAATGGAACTGAACCATTTAAATGGATCACATAAATGGATCAGCTGAATGAAGATTACAAATGGACAAACGAACAGGGCCATAGAGACGGAGAATATGTCAAAGTTTGAACAGTTAAACGAAATTATTATTGCAAACAAGCAGAATAAAAATGTCAGATATTCAAAGTAATTATATGATTTTTGTAAAACTTTGCAACTATGTGACTCCCGGCAACGTGGTGGGCTGTTTTAACGTAATCGACAGCGATAATGACGATATAACGCTGTATAGTGGTGTATATATAAATATAAGACTTATTCTTGGGTTCACCTACTAGGTTCACAATCTAATAGGATTACATTATTTCATATTTGATATATTTTAATAAAGAAAACAAAATCTTATTAAGTAATATTATGTTTTTAAAAATATAAATAAAAAATAATAATTAATAAAAATAAAAATAATTCTTTTTAAATAAAATATTTTAACACCAAAACCCTAAACTCTAATCATAAACCCTAAATCTCTGGGTAAATCATAAACCTTTGGATAAATCTTATAGTGTTTTAAAAATTTAGTGTTTATGATTTACCCAATGATTTAGGGTTTAGGATTAGAGTTTCGTTTTTAGTGTTTATGATTTACCCAAGGGTTTAGGGTTGAGGATTAGAGTTTAGGGTCTAGTATCTTAGTGTTAAAATAATTGTTTTTAAAGAATTTTTTATAAAGTTATCCAAAGATTTATAATTTACCCAAGAGTTTAGGGTTTACTGTTAAAATATTTTCTTTAAAAACATTTATTTTCGTTTTCATTAATTATTATTACTTTTATTTGTTTTTCTGTTTTTTATTTTTAAAAACATAATATAACTTAACAAGATTTTGTTTTTTTTTTTAAAAAAGATATCAAATATGAAATAATGCAATTTTATTGGATAGTGAACCTAGAGGTTCACCCTAGGGGGTGAATCCAAGAATAACTCTAAATATAAGATCGACAACTTACAATGATGATATCTTATTTTTGAGTTCACCCCTCTAGGTTCACCAACCAATATGATGATGTTTCTCCATATTTGATATATTTTTAAAATAGAAACAAAATCTTGTTAACATTATATTTTTAAACTAAAATATAAAAATAAATAAAAGAGCAGGAATAATTGCAAAAAAACAATTTAAAAATATTATTATTTTTATTACTTTTGTAAATATTATTATTTTTATTTACTTTTGTATTTTTATTTTAAAAACATAATATAACTTAACAAAATTATTATTTTTGTAAATATTATTATTTTTTATTTACTTTTGTATTTTTATTTTAAAACATAATATAACTTAACAAAATTTTATTTCCTTTTTAAAAAGATATCAAATATGAAATAACACCATCTTATTGGTTGGTGAACCTAGAGGTTCACCATAGGGGGTGAACCCAAGAATAAGTCATCTAAAAATATATGAGCATGATTAATGAAGGTTCTTAGAGTGAGATTTTTAGCGGAATATAAGAAACTGTCTCTTAACTTTTAACTAAAAAAACTAAAAACCGACACTTCAATAAGAGTTGGCTCTTTTCTTTTTCTGTTAAAAATGAAGAGACGGTTTGTTATATTCCGTTAAGAATTCCATCCAAAAAACTTCCCATTAATCATGCTTTATGTATGAACTCTTCTTTTATACTATTTTCTTAGCGTAAGTGTTTAAAATAGAAAAAACAAGTGTTCAAGTAGTATACTAGATTCTGACCGTCTTTTAAAGTGTGAGTGTATTTTTTTTTCATTTTTTTTAGAAATTTAATTTTCATATTTGTGTTTTTATTTGTAATGATATTATTGTTTTTCTTTGTATTGTATTTGTGTAAATGATTTTTTTTTTTAATGATTAGTAAGGGGTTTTGATAATTATAGTGAATTTGTGATGTTGCTTAACCATACATTTGTACCATAGTCATTTCACATATATTTTGTGCTTTATTTCTAAACAGTTATTTTGAAAAGAAAATAACAAAGTATAGTTACAATTTTGTTTAGTAATTAAATAGATAAAATTATATATTTTTCATTAAATTTTCATGATTTGATATCATATATTGATAATAACGTTTACACATTATTTTACGATTTGACGTGCAAAAATAATTGTTGACTAAATACATACCAATAGGTCATAATCTTTATTTAATAGAAAAATATTGTACATGTGCAATAGTTTTATTTTGCTAAATAGGATAAAAAAAATTTCATATTGCTGCATCAAACAAAAACTCAATTATTTAGATTAAGTGGTAACGATTATATATATGTATCATAATAATGATGTTTATGTATTATAACAGATTTATAAGTATTACTTGTAATATGTTGGAATTGTAGTAAAATATATTTATATACCTTATAGATTAATTGATGTGATACAATGTATATAAACAAATTATATTCATCTTGGTTCTGTAGCATCGGGTGTACACATATTTATTAAATACTAGGGTAAACCCGCCCTACGGGCGGGATATAAGTCATGCGGTACTTAGATTCTAAAGACACGATATACCCCTACTTGTTATTTAGATTCTAAAATTAATGTTATGTCTCAATGTAGTGAAGTTTGGAGATTTTTAAAATGTATTTGATATAATAATTGGGGGAGCTTAGTGTTTTTGGTGTTGTATCTTGTTTCGTTCAGATACCTTCTTCAATGGTAAGCAAACAATATACAGACAATCACATGCTCAACGTCATAGAGACAATAAACATGCTACTAAACTAACCATATAGATATAGACGTTAAGGTAATTAATCACCATGCTTTTACTAATGAAAATAACAAACGACCCTTTATATCTTGGAATCTTCTCAACTTTCTCATTATGTTCATTTGAGCTATTATCTCGTTCTATTTCTTCTGGTGGTTCAAGTGAATGATCATAACTGAGGCTCATTTTCTAACCTTGCAAGGTTAGGACTGAAATGCTTTTAAAAGTTTTGACTAAACAATTCAAGTGCTTCTAAACCNACCTTATTTGATTTTGCCTATGGTGTAGCTTCAGGTGTGAGTAGTGACACCCAAGAAACTGATTCTGAAGGAGAATGTTCCTTCTTGACTGCTTTAAATGGTTCATTCAGAGCCGTTTGTTCGGAAGTTAACACTGCTTCCAATCTTTAAGCATAAGAACAGTCGTTTCACCTGCTGTTACTGGGGCTTACGGCGATTCAGTCGCTTAAATTAATAATCCATTATGTGTGTTTTATCCAATCAGTTGGGCCTATATATTTGTGTTATATTATATAATTCTGTTATACTATGTATTTTCCTAATTTTTTTTGTTCTTTTTATTTATATTTAACTATTTTAAAATAATTTTGTAAAAAATATTATGTTTTGATTGTGTTATTTTTTTGGCTGTGGTTTTCTATTAAATATTTAATTTATCTAAATTTGAACTTGGTGAGAGAAAAGGATAAACTTCAATTAGATACATTCATTTTTTTTCTTTGGCTTGAATTTGATGAATTTGAAAAATATTTATTCTATAACGTAGAGAAAAAATAATTCACAGAAATTGGTCGATCCTTTGTGGAAATTGTTTGTTTTGCGTTAGCATCTGATCATTTTCTTTTTATAATTAAGAAGTGAAATAATAAAAACTGTTAGTACATTATTTAAACTTACTTTAGTGTTGAGAGATAGAGGTGGACGTTTTTAGGGAGAGCCAGAAAGTTCTTAATTAAATTTGTTCTTAATTAAATTTTCTTGGATGATTAGCAGTGAGAGCACGATATCAAATGCCTCTATGAAATTCAAATCCCGTTGTCTCCACTTTAAAACACAGACTTGTAGACCAAAGTGATCAACTTAATGGCTAACTGCAGCATAGAGACATCTTATGTAGCTGAACACTTACTTTTTATCAAATGTAGCTTAACACAAACTATTAATTTGTACAGAGAAGGTCATGTAACATATAACTGTAACATATAATAACATAAGAGCCAACAAACAAACTTTGATGGGATCCTTCAGATTGTAAAAACTCTGCGTTGTTATAAAATATCAAAAACCTGAAAATGCTCATTTTAAGTCAATCATCAAAATTAAAAACAGAACAAAGTTTATTGCTTTATCATGGATTTATCAACTACACATTGATTGGCATCTCTGTGATGACAATGCCGTTGCTTTCTTCAAGGCTACTGACAGTTGCTACTTCACCTCGAACAACTTTGTTTAGAAAGAGAAAAATGTTAATATAGGCTTTAATGATGATGAACAAAACAGTTTGCTTTCAAGAAACGAACCTGAAGCTAAGCAAATTGTTGCACCAATGATATAACGCAGCCTTGACATTTTCGTAAACACCCCACGAAACACTTATGTCTTGCACATACATAAAAGACCACCAAAGAATGTCTTTTAATAACTTCTCCCAAAAATAGAGACAGAAAGCAATAAGGAGTTGATGCCTGTGTTAAATTTCTGACTTTGCAATGTATGAGAATCGGAAGGTTTTTTACATCTACAGAGAAAAATAAACATT